CACAGAGTCACACATATCACCCACTTCTTTCAGCAAGAAACACACACAGAAACTCAAAAACATGTGTTGTAACAGGTTTCACCACTGTTCTCACACCTATTACTCACTTCCATTAACAACAAACATCCAGAAAATCACTTCCTATACATACCTGTGACCTTTCAGATCATTAACGCCCCACGTGAACTGTTGCAAACAAACTGATCACCGATAGTCCCTCTTCGATACATCGATTAGAGGGTTTTTCTAAAACTCCACTGAAACAGCACTTTCTACTGCAACTGGAGGCATGGATACCTCCCTAGACAAGAAACGACCACTCCTTTTTATTCTCTCTTTAATCCTCCAGGTAATCACCAAGAAACCTCAAAATCGATGTGTTGAAGGCGCTGAGAAGAAAAAAAAAATCTAGGAAGAAAACCAGGGCTCTGATACCATGTTAGTTAGTCAACCAGACCTAATTTACTTCCTGAAATAAAAAGGCAAGAAAGAAAAAGGGAGAAAGAAGGGGAAGAAGAGAGGAAGAGAGAAAGAGAGGAGAAGATGAAGAGATGGTTCGACTGGTCTCCAGAAGAGAAAAAGACCAGTCTCCCAGCCGACCAAAATAATATATATAGATTTCTAACTTTAAGTACAATGACTTTGTGCCCCTCTTTATGTATGGGACACTATTTAATCCTGACAACTCAGTAAGACCGTTATGAGAGTGTAAGGCTCAATTTGGAAAGAGTACAAATACATACAAAATACAAGGTTTTGCACTCTACATATTTGCATTTGTACTCCTACCAAACTGAGCCTAAGGAAATTCAGTACCAAACTAGGTGCTTTTCTCGAATCCCCACGTGTCACCTATCATGCATCCTCACCTTGTGTTTTGCTTCACTTGGTAGAATGTTCATTGCATATTTGGCTTCATAGTATTGTAAGGGTCTTGATAACTAAGGCCAGTGCTTCATGACGTTCTTCTGTCAACCAATGGTATTGGACATGCCCATGCCCTTACACTCTCTTTATTATACAAGTTAATTTTTTTTGATAAATATTATACATGTTAATTGAATAAGATATCAACCAATGGTGTTGGGCACGTCCTTTCTAAAGCACACAATTCTCTTCTCTTCTTTTCTTCCTCTATTTCTCTCTTACTTTTCTTCCTACCATTCCCATAACCAGCAACGAATCATCCAGATTAGCAATGAAGGTAATGGGGATCAATCCAAGCATTATAAGACCTATTCTCGTAAGAAGGCCAACAAACAGGTTCTGATTTGGCATGAGGAAGACTCTTGGGACTTGGACTGAGCAGATCAGGGGTATTTTTATCATTTCAACTAGTCCTGTGTGGACCTGGGTTATAACATCTTGTTCCACTAGTTTAGTAGGGCTTATCTTTCAGTTTCCAGTTTATTTGCATTAGTAGTGATGAAGGAGAATTTGGCCTTTTTTCTTGTTCGACCTGCAGGTCCTCGAACTCCGGGGACTCTTTGAAGCTCTCGATGGCCTTTTTTCTTTCTACGATGGCAATCTCGAAGATTTCAGTGCGCTCCTTGACCGTGGCCTCGAGGTTCGCGACCTCCCGCTGAAGCCGTTCCTTCTCCTCAATCAATGCGGAGATTTGCCCTTCCTGGGACAAGATCAACTGCTTCTGGGCCTCATCCCCCTTTTTGGCTCTATGTACCTCACCCCGGGTCAGGTCTAGCTCGCGATGGAGCTTCTGCACCTCCGGCTTAGCATCACGAGCCTCCTTTATGGAGATCGCCGATTGGAAGGCCAGCGTGTGACCAGCAACGTTAGCCTACCAAAAGAAAACAGAGATCAGTAAAAAAAAAAAGAGAGAGAAGAAAGAAGGAAGAAGAAAAAAGCGGAGCGCTTACCACCATACAGTGGCTGCCGATTAGTCCCAAGAGCCGGCCCGGAGACATCTCTGCCCACTTCGCGACTTCATCGTGGAAGACAGCACCCTGACTCTTACGTATGGCTTGCACGTGGTCCATGATGCTCTCTTTCAAGCTCGGAAAAGTACCCTCTGGTGCAGTATCCGCCTCCACGGGTGCGGACGAACTCTCCGGCTCTTGGGGGTGAGCTCCCTCGCGATGGACCTCGTCCATAACCGCCTCGGGAGCAACAGGTCGGACCTCTTCCTGGGGAGGCGTAGTGGAGACCGGCTCCACGATTAAGACTTCAGGTGACAGACCGCCCTCCTGGCGCGGCCTCTTCGCAGCCCTCTTCTTCCCCTTCTGGGAGATCCTCAAGAGACTTTCTGCATTGACCGGCATGGTAGCTGCAAAAACAAAATATAAGATTAGCCACGAACTAATCAGAATCTTAACAAAGCAAAAACCCAAGGCGACCTACCAGGACTCAAGCCGGCCTGCACGAGCTTGTCTTCGGCAAGGTAGCCCGCACAGAGGAAGCCGAGCTCCGCCCAAGACTTGAGCGTCTCCCTTGTCCTCAGATCTAGTCTAACACCAGAATCCTGAATCGCCAGCCTCCAATGGGTTGGGAAAGGCCACCCCTCGGGGTTACGGACCATGAAGTAATCTCGTTTCCAGGCCGGGATCCTATTGGGGAGTTCGTACAATAGCTTATAGCCCAGGCGAGGAGACAGGTAATAGGTTCTCCTATGCTCGAGAAGAGCACAAGAAGAGTTTTTCTTAATTGACAAAATAGAAGAAAAGATCTCGAGGTTGAGGAGAAGACAGTACTCGTAAAAAAGTGAGATGGTCCCTACATTGCGGATGGAGTTCGGGTGTAACTGGTCTATGGTAATATCAAAAGACTTCAGGACCTCTACAATTAAGGGGTGCAAAGGAAGACGAAGACCATCCACGAGCTGCTTTTCAAAAATCACGATCTCGTTGTGATCGTGTTCTCAAGGGAAGTTATCTAAGTGGAGACTGTAGGAGAACTCTCTCGGGAAGTTGTACCGGCGTACTAAGGCCTGAAGCCGGTCCAAGGTCATTGTTGAAGGGCCAAAGTTGCCCGGCACCCGACCTTGATGAGAGGTGGATGCCAGACTACCAGAGGCCTCTCGCGCCTCCCGGGGTGCCTGTACCTCGGGAAGGCCATGGACTGCCTCTAAGCCCAAAGTAGCCTCGTCTCGGCTACCGACCTGGGTCGAGGTACCCTCCTCGACCTCGTCTAAAAGACTATTAAAGCTAGAAGAAAACATGGAACAGAACCGAACTAAAAAGGAAAGTGAAGGGAGACTCACCAAAGAAGGACGACTATACTGGAAGAAAGTGGCGAACTGGAAAACCCGAGCTAAAGAAGCTAAGCACGACCTCAGATTGAAGACTAGTAAGCTTGTGACGAAGGAAATGAGTCTCGGGTCTCCCTATTTATAGCCACTGTATCGAAGAAGCAATGGTCAAGATCAAAGCAATCCGACGGCTCCTAAGAAAACCGGTTGCACGACCCTCGAGATCGAAAATAGTTTAGCGCGTTTTTGACATTCACGGAGCCTATAGATTGCATGACGTCCGCGCGTGAACCGCACGCGACCCATCTGATAGAACAGCCAGACTTCAAACCGAATCCACTTGGCACATCGTGAACTCCTCAAACTAGGTCAAGACCCCTAGCTCGAGGAGTGGGGGGCAATTGATGAAGGAGAATTTGGCCCGACATCGTGACAGGGAGACACGTGGACATGACTCGACATAAGCGACAACTCGACGTAATCAGATCGGCACGTGGACATGACTCAACACGGGTGACAGCTCAACATAAATCAGCTCGCTACAAAGCGAGTTGGGGTACGCTAGTACCCCGAACTAAAGTCACTTCGAGCTAAGATCATCCTGGTACTAGATCGCGACCAGGATAACGGAACCAAGTTCGTCACAGATCAAGGCCAGACAGATGGATCACCTCGGTCCAAGGGCACTTCAGCATTCATGTCAGGGCGGACCTAAGGAGCACGAGCTCGAGAAGCTCGCTACCAATCAACTCGCCATCAAACAGCCCAATGTCCTACAGGCAACTCGCCTAACCGTTCAGACCTCCGCATGGCAACCTCGAGGAGCACACCACCGTACTCTATATCCCACAGGACCGTACTTTGTAACGGTTACATTAGTTCACCAACTCCCCGGTTCTGACGGGAAGGGACAGTATTACCGTTTGACGGCGTTTCGCCCACCTAACACGCAAATAAGTCCCATCACAGCAGGGATCCAGTAACCATTCCACCAACCCGCATGGACCCCAGTATATAAAGACTCCGCCCCCCAGGGGCGAAGGTACGTTCTATTATTATTGTTGTGTGTGTAATCTTCGCTCTCTAGCTCTCTCACTGTTATCATCTTCAAGCTCTCTACTACCACTGTGTTTTAACTTAGCCATCGGAGTGTCCTTGTCAGGTGAGCCACCCCGAAATCGTTGACTCATCTCTTTCAGGAACCTAGTTCTCGTCGTTGCTGGCAACTAGATCATATCCAGCAGGGAGCAGCCGGATTACGCCACATCAAGTAGATAGGAAGCTTTCTTGATGCACAAGACAAGGAGTGGCATTTTTGTAATTACGCTAAACAGTATTCCGGGTCACAAGTCACTCTATATAAATAGATGTATTATCTTACTTTTGAAGCTAATTAATGAATGAAGATTTCTTAAAAGCTCTCTTTCTGTATGGAGTGATTCCTACAAACCCTATAGTGATTTTGGGACCCCTTGGAGTGATTCCTTGAGATTTCTCTCTCTTTTCTCTTTCTCTACCCTTTCTACAATCTTTCTCTCTTCCTCTCTCAATGGTTTAGGTATATCTCTTTTTAACTACCATTCATTTCCTACTTACACCAAATCTGTTCTCCATATGATCAAGTCTTTGAAATTTGTATGTTCCCCGTAGATCTTGCGAATTGTTTTCTACAAAACCAGCTTGCAGTGTACACATATATACATATGCATAAAAATACGCATGGATACATAAAAATAGATGAATAGGTAACTAGTTTTTATTCAAAAAGAGCAAAATATATATAAAGAATGCAAACCTTTCTCATTGAAGAAAGAAATCTCTTATTCACAATGCCAGCCTGAAATTCACCACATAAGAATAATTGTTCCTTCATGTCAGCAGCAATTATATACCATGTCTTCTTCAAGTGCATAAACTTTGATACAAGGAGCTGAAACTGACCGTTTCTCTATTCAAAAGCAAGCAAACAACAACAATATCCGCCTCTCTAGCAAAATCATAAAGATCTTCAGGACCACCCTTCTTATCAACCAGAGAATTGTAGGCATCACTTTGAATGTTGAATGCGGGCGATCTAGCAAAAGAATCTACAAGATAGTGAATAAGTTGCTATTCCATAGCCACACATCTTAGTGTGCTAACTTAGTACACAATCTAAATATTTCTCAATACCATTTGTTTGACAAGACTCCAGCAAATCTGAAGTCCATCTCCGTTTTGTAGCAAGGATTCTCACACCAAAAGGTCTCAAGCGTTTTGCCAAATCAATCCCTATATTTCCAAATCCCATAATAAATACCTGCATTGACAAACAATATTATTTATAAGATTATGTGAAGCTAGTTTGCATTTTGCAATCACTTAAAATAGTGTCCTGCCATCATATATGTGAATAAAAAATGAAGCAGAGACACAAGGATGGGCAGCTCCATTAAAAAACAATTAACTAAAACCCTTCCAAGTGCTGTTAGTTGATTCCTAGTGGTAACATGTGGAACAATTTTGAGCAACCTCATAAATAATTGATTCATGCATCTGCTAACACTAAAAGCTCCTGTATCAACAACATCAATGTGCTAATATCTAGAAAAGAAACGTAGAAAATTGGAAAAAAATCATACATAGAGGAGAACATCCACCAGCTATTGATTATTGAATGTAGGTCAAAACTTTTATCTTTCATGAACTAATTCATAGTAGAATTCATTTTGAAGTTAAAAACAGTCTATATAGTCAGCCTGTTGATCACTATCGGAACCTCTAGGACATCTTCTCATCCTCCCTGTAGGTATGAAAAGTAGCATTTAACTGAGACTTCTTGCACACCAATGACTCATGAAATTGAAAAGCATCTGTTAAAATTGATTTGTTGCACTTCAACGACAATATAACCATTAGCAAAAGGTGGTACAAGTAGAGGCCTTCTGTACTTGGACACCATTACCTGGTTTCTGTGAGGGCTAATTACTAAAATATACCCTATGGTTTGAGCAAAACATTTCGAGTATACCCTGTGATTTGCAAAACTAATTGGATATACCTTGTAAGATGGCCCCACATACAAATAGGCCATCCCTTAAACAAATGTCTAGCGCAGTTTTCCAGTTTCACATGTCCATTAATTTCTTTCATAATCCCAATTTTACCCCTCTTTCTCTCCTTCCTCTCCTCTCCTTTTCTCTTTTTGTTATTGTGCATTGTCTTCAATCTATGGCCCAAACACAGCTTCCTCTTTTGGATGTTAGAAAAAAAAACATATTTAGAACAAAAAACAAAATAGACTTTACAACTTCCAAAAAGACAATAGACAGAGAAAAGAGCAACTTAGGTGCCCCTCATTGCTTTCAAACTCCACTCCATCAAACACAAACAAAAAGACAAAAATACTATTCTAACCGTGACCAATGAAATTCCTTAAACGTATACAAGAATAGTAGTAAAAATGCCATTGAAAAGTTAAAGAGGTAGCGAGAGAGCATAGGAACAACATTTCCCTAATGCCTCTCCCAAGATTGCTAATCCAGCTGATGATGGTGCTAGGCATTATTTTGTCGTTCAAATGCCAATTATGTGGAAGCTTTGGTATTCTAAAGTTATTTTGTTGTTCAAAATAATTCTCAATCTCCTAAAGCTTTAATTGATGCAAGTTCAGGTTTCCTCTGAATGGCTGACAGGCTGAGCTGCTGGGCATTTAACCATTTGGATCCTCAAATTCAACACATTGTTAATAGGGATTTTTCAGTTGATGTTGGCATTTGCATTAATTTTGATGGCTCATTCAAGGATGGGAGTAGTACAGCAGCTATGGTGACAACGGGGTATGATGGAATTCTACAGGTAGCTGTTTCAGGTCGTCTATTTGCAGATGCTCAATCTTCGGAAGCTCTTGCTCTGCTTTTGGCAATTAAATGTGCTTCAAGTTTCTGTGGCAGAAATGGGTTATTGTCTTTCAATCATCAATCTGTTAAAGAACAGAAAATAATGGTAGCTCCTTGCGGATGTAGTGCCTTCTTTGAAGGTGCCCAAGTACTTCTCTCTTCTCTCATTTCAGGGAGTTGAGGGCAGAACCCCATTAACAGAGGGAAGCTGACATCCATTCTCCCCCTTTCTTTCTCACTCCCGATCTACCTCTTTAGACACACAACAAGGGCATGTTTTGAAAATTTAATGAACAGTGAAAGGCCTTTTTCACCCTTTATTTGTTTTCCGTAAATCTTAAGGTTGAATGCTTTAACAATGCATATTTAAGCAGTGTTGGAAACTACAGGGTATCTTTAAGTACTTTAGTGAATTTTGACATTTTAGTTAAAACATTGAACATCTTGCTAATTTGCTGGATCACACTGTAAGTATAGAAGTTAATTTTTCAGGAATTTGATTATATTGCAAACAATTCCATGATGTCACAAAATAAGATACATAAGAACAATGAACCAAGATGATCAAAACAGATTAAATATGAAAATGCATCATGGTAGCAACCAGAGAAAGAGAAACTCACAGTTTTCCCAAATAGGGTTTCTCCAATTGGTTCTCCTAACCTTTTCTGGTCTACAGCAATTTGCATCTCCTTCTACAATAGTACCACAAAACAGAAAAGGTAATCAGATCAAAAATAACATAGAAAGAAAATTATGTTATTATGCAATTACCCTATAACAAACCAGGAGCTACGGGTACAATTAAGGCAAAGCTTGCCCAATGGACCCTCTCTCCCGCAAAGTGTTTGTAGTTTAGATGGTAGGTTAATTGGGTCAGTTTTTAATGAGTTAATAGTAGTAGAAAATTAAGAGACTTTTATAGATTTAAATGTCAGGTTAATCAGTTTTTAATGAGTTAATGCCTATAAAAGTCTCTATATTTTCTATAGATAGAAATATAGATATTAATCTCTCATATCTTCTGTCAAGACTTAAAAGGAGGATCAGTTTTCAATTCTGGCCTAAGACTGATCTGGTGAGGCGAAACTCTCTATTTTCTATTCTTTCTTTGGTTGTAGTGCCAAAGAATAATTCATTTAGGGTTCAGCCTCAAGTGTTGATGGAGACGTAATAGGTAGAAGTGGTTCTTCCTCTGCTCAAATGATGAAACTAGATAAAAAGGGCTTCTTTTGAACCATCTACTGTTCTATCTCAACCCTTAAAAGGGGTATCCCTAATTGGAGAACAGGTGCTGCTCTGGTTTGGTGTTTTTGGACCTGCCACACTGGTGTATGAATGTGGAGGTGCATTTTTTGGATTGGAAGAGATTGCTCCAGGGTACAAGTGAGTAACTGAACCATTTCTGGTCTTTGGACCTTGTTTCTTGGTGATTAGATAGTCACCATAGTGGCAGACTGATGTTGAACTCTGTTTTAAATGGGTTATACACTTCTTTTGATCTGTGTGAATCTGTTAACAAGAGGAGATATAAGGAAGATAGGTGGTGGCCTTTCATCCGGTCTTTTATCTCTTTTGGGCTTCTCTCCTTCTCTTGAAAAATTCTTGCATTCCTTTCTTCCCACACGGACCAGATCAGCGCTGCTCTTGCACACCTCCACATAATTCTTCCTCTTCTGTGCTACCAAGGGAAGAAAGCAGGATCAAAAAACAAACTTGCATCTGCTGGCCTAACCAACCTGCACCCAAACAATGAGAAGAGTCACTCCCATAACTCTGCAGTAAATGAACAAGATATTAGTATATGGTTACAGTCCTCACCATGTGACCTGCAAAGAATACACCAGGAAGGTGAGAGACAGAGAAAAGGTCTTCTCTTTTGTAGAATGTCAAAGGTGTTTATTTTCCCATAATACACTTCCCAACAAAAGGCCATAACCTTAGGGGGGGCCAGGCCTGCACCAAATTTCCTTAAAAGGGAAAGGCTGGTTGGGGGTAGACTAAGTAATGGATTTAAAGAAAGAAGCGCATGAAAAGGATCCACTCTGCCGAGGTGTCCAAATCCGATTATCAGGTTCAGAAGGGTCCAAACATACTATATCAAGTAGACTTAGCAGATTTGTGAGAGACACAATTTCCTCTTCCCTTAAACCTCTACGAAACCCAAAGTCCCAATTTGGTGTTAATGGATCGTTCATAATGGAAAAAAACTTTGACACAAAATGCTTTTTATACCTTGAAACAGAGAACAAAGAAGGGAAAAGGTCCTTCAATGGAGCCTCTCCCACCCAAGTATCCTCCCAAAATAGGACTGAGTTACCATTGCAAACACCATACCTAACAAAAATGAGAAACCGAGGAAGAATGCCATGAATAGCTTTCCAAGGTGTTGCCAAGGTTGCCCGCCATGATACCCTAGCATCCTTTCTGAGCGACCATGAATACTACCCACCACCTCATGCCAAAGTCTCTTTCTCTCCACTATCCACCTCCACAGCCACTTCCCCAACAACGCTTTATTTTTTTAATCAAATTCCCTAACCCCAATCCCTCTTCCTCTTTATTTTGGCATACCACCTCCCATTTTATCAAGTGATCCTTTTTACTCTCCCCCGACTCCCAAAGAAAATCTCTCATCAACTTCTCTAGCTTCTTAGCATCCCTAGGTGGTATCCTAAACACGGACAGGAAATAGGTTGGTAAGTTAACAAGTGGACACCAAAAGCTAACTTCTTTTGGAACCTCTCTACCACAATGTTAACTTCTTTTGGAACTTCTCTACCACTGGACACCAAAAGCTACTCTCCCTAGGGTTTGCCCCTAGCGGAAGCCCCAAGTAAGATAGGCCAGGACGAGATAGAACATCCTAAGCTTCTTGCCATAAACTCCACCTCCCTATCCTCCAAGTTAACACCAACTACACAACTCTTTTCGAAGTTGACACTCAAATTTGACAATCTCTCAAAGCTTCTAACCAAGTCCTTGAGAGTTCTCACTCTCTCAATATCATCCCCGTCACAGAAAATCAGAATATCATCTGCAAATTGGAGATGAGTGACCGAATCCCATCCCTCCCTATTCTCCACCCTTTAATCACATCTTCTCTATCAGCCTTTGAGATCATTCTACTAAGCACCTTTGCTATTAGAGTGAAGAGGAAAGGTGATAGAGGGTCCCCTTGCCTGATACCTCTATAGGCTGAGAAGAAGTCCTTCACCACTCCATTAACCAAGACAGAGTAATGGCAGGAACTAATACATCCAAAATTCTAACTACACCACTTATTCCCAAATCCACAATTTCTCAATACTTGTACCAAAAAATGCCAGTCCACCAAATCATAGGCCTTCTCTAGATCCAACTTACAAACAAAGCCTTTTCTTTTAGATCTTCTCATATCCTCCACGCACTCATTAGGGTATCAGAAATTCCTACTGTTACAGGAGGGTATCAGAAATCCAACTCCACAGACAAAGCCCTACTGCTATAGGAGGGTATCAGAAATTCCTTGTCAAGTGGAAATGCAAGCCTATGTTTGACTGTTCTTGGATCACTGCTCAAGACTTTCATCATCTCAACCCAGATCTTTATGAAAGACACCATGCTTTTAACTGGTCAAGGCCAAGTTATCAAGCCAGGGAGAGATGATAATAAAGGGATGTGGCGATTGGGAAATAGCTAGGCCTTCATTTTTGGGGAGGGGAGAGGAGGGATTTGCAAGAATTGCTTTCAAGCGTTTTGATAAGATTAAAAGAGAAGAAAAAATTAAAAAAAGAGAGAAAAGCAGATAGAAAAAAATCTGGGACAAGGAAGAGGGTGAGGAAAGTTACTTTGCAGAGGAAGAGTAAGGGGACGGAAGGTTGGGGGAGGTCGGAAGTAGCGGGAGTAAAATGAAGTTGTTTCCTGGAATGTCCGGGCCTGAAGGAGGAGGAGCTGCATCCCTTTTAGCTTTATGGAAGGAAAGAAATAAAAGATTGTTCCAGGACAAATCAAAAGGCATTGAACTTGTGGTAGCCTTAGTTGGAAAGCTTGTTTCGAGCAGGGTCTCGATTCTCCTAGAATTTGAGCAGTTTAACAATGTAGATCTAGTAGAAATTTTTTGGGGTGTTCTTGAGTTCCCAACCTGTTGTAACGTGTTTTCCTAGAGTCTTGTTGGTCAGGTGTTACCTTTAACACCCAATAAGTTTGTACCTATCTTTTCTTTTTAATAAATTTTTCTTCATACTCTTTAAAAAAAAAAAAAAAAAAAGATGATAGGAATCAATCAGCACCCTTAAAGACTTATTCTAGAAAGAAGACCTCACCACAGATATATGTATGGATGTTTTACACAGAGATCAATGAAGTTTATTGAGTTTTCTTGATCTTACACTAATTATAGTAAGTGATTCTAGGCACCTCCTGAGTGATTGTGATTCCGTGTATTCTCTCCTTTCTTTCTCTCTTTATTTTCTTTATCATTCCTTCAAGAAACCACTGCATTCATCAACAGTCATAAGTTTTTGATTGAGAAGGTTATTTCACATTCTCTAAGGATTGGCATTGGGTTGGTCCTACATCACTCAAACTTTCTCTCCAGTTGCTAGAATTACCTTTTGAGTCATCATCTTCCTTGTTGTTGTAGACACCCTAAGCTGACCAGTATGAGAACTATGAGAGAATATAGCTAATTTGGCATGTAATAGACTACAATTACAACTTTTGATGCTTTCATAAACTAGGGTTTTTTTTATCAGTACATAAACTAGGAAATTATGTAATTTCAAGATTATGGGAATGAACGTACCTGCTTCCTGAGAAGGCTCAGTATCAGGTATATGGCCATTTCTGCACATGATGCTGCATTTCCAGTTACATTCCCAGGAATTCTAGCAACTTTGATTCCATATCTTGTAGCAGCATCAACATCAACACCTGTAAAATATACATATTACAGCGAAGAATGAGTTTATGACAATAAATCAATTCGAGTTGGACAAAAATAATATTTTAAAAAGCTCCTAATTTTTCCTAGTTTAGTGAGCAATGAAATGACCTTCCAATCCAACACCAAACTGAACTATCAACTTCAAACGAATTGCACAATCAATAACTTTGGAATCCAGTTTCTTCATTTTCGGAACACAAATATCATAGTTGCCAATGACAGAGGGCACATCATCAAGGGGGACATCATCGACCTACAGAAATTGAAGATACAATTAGCCTATCAGAAAAAAAAAAAAAGTTGAAGATACAATCACTCAACAGATCATTTTATGGAAAAGAGTAGGCCTTAGTTAAAGGAAAAAATCTAAAGCAAGCAAACTCTGAAAATTCAACTCAAAAGAGGAAACAAAGGAAATTCAACAAGATAACCAATATCTAAGCTCTAAGCTCTAAAGGAGATTGAGATAAAAAATGAGACACAAGATTTATAACAAGCAAAACCAGCCAGCAATAGAAGCAGCCCTCAGATGATCAGTTTAAACTAGGGTTATAAAGCCAAATAGGTAACCAGATCAAATAAGAGAATAACTACCATTTTAACTGAAAAGATTTGTGGAGAAAAGAATAATTGTGTAAAGATTTACAGTATAAATTTCAGCGGAAATCTCAGTTCAGTTAAAGCCATTATGCTCAAATAATATTTTTGGACACATATAGCTGACAAGGCATAAATTTACATTTAGAACAAGTTTTTAAAGGTTTACAGTATAAATTTCAATGTAAATCTCAGTTCAGTTAAAGCCATTATGCTCAAAAAAAAATTTGATAATTGAAAAGAGATTTATCAATGATATATCAGAAATGTTACAAGCACCCCAAGGAGAGGCACGAGGTGCAACCTCCCTTGAGATTTATCAATGATATATCAGAGTTTCCAGAGGATTCTTGCGAAGGATCCAGTGCGTAGGATGCACTCTGCTGGTTCCGTTCCACCCACAGCTGTGTCATCTTCAGCAGGAGCGGATCTTGGTCTCTTCTTTGGGCGTGAACACCAACTTTGGGAGATACTGCTTCTCCGGATCAGGTATATTCCTCCATTTTTCTTTTTGGTTCAGATCTGGTTCGATTATGGTTCAAGTAGGATTCTTGAATATTGTATTCTAAATTTAGGGAATATGATTCCCAGTTGGAAGAAGGTAGGAAAATTTTTGAAATTCGCCCACCCATTCCGCAACCTTCTTGGCGTCCATTAGATGGATCCTACCATTCTTTCACTTACAAGTTGAATGGTCTAGAAGAGAGAAGGGTGAACCAAAAAGGACAGGGGTCGAAGTTGAGAGAAATGATTAAAGGTTCATAATTTAACAACAGATATGGGGAGCATTACTTGCTGCAATGGAAAAATCTCAGACTGGCAAGCATGAGAGCGCGGGTTTAAGTCTGAGAAAGCAAAAAAAAATGCCAAAGGTTAACGCCATATCCAGTCTGTCCCCCTCATGACCCCAAATAGCTGATCCAACACTGGTTATTGGCCTTCTTAATTTAACAATGGATATGGCACAGAATAGAGAACACTATTACAAAAATACTGGGCAGTTAAGTTGAGTCTTTGTTTAATTATATGCAGTATTACAAAAGTAAGCCCAAGACTTTGATAACAAAATTCATTTACACAAGTTAATATACATCATCCACAAACATGACTAAAAAGAGAAAATGCCTAAGAATTCCATCAAACAAAGAAAACAAAACAAAACTGACACGGAAAGTTTGATATATAGACATTTAAGTCTAAGTCCTAAAAAGGATATAGCTCAGATATAAATCTATATCAGTCTTATCAGATGAAAGACAATGGAAAATATGCATTTAAGAATACCTGTATAAATGGATAATTTTGCAAATATTCCCTCGTGTATTTATGAGATGCTGGGAATTGAGGTCCACAAAAGAGCACACGGGTCACTTGGCTATCATTGTTCTCAACCATTTTCTCAACCTTCCTTGAGAAATCTGCACTGGATAATCTAAATGTTTTAATAATATACATTCATTTTTTCTTTTGAATACAGAGTTTAGTACACTTAAACAAATAGCTAGATTGTAGCTACATGAATTCTCATCTCTGGTATCACATTTGAGTATCTTTTTAACAAAAAAAAAATGAAAAAAAAAATAGGTAACCAAGGTAGTAAGTGGTAAGGAAACAATGACATTTCTATTGCAATGCCCAACAAAGAGTTCACCAGGCAGTAGACCACAGAATGGAAAACAGGACTTTACAATGTTTCCACCTTAACCAGAACAGCCAGCTCAGTGTTCATAGCTCTGATTCCAAAAAAATCAAAGTGTTGCTAACATTGTTTTCCTACTACTTACATTCATATAAACATTATCTAAAAAGAGAATTATAGAATCAAAATTATCTAACAACACCGAAGATGAGTAATGAACAGTATTCCTATCAACTAATTTCCACCATTTTTTGCTATCAATTAGACAAAACAAAACCAAGATTGTTTTGCTAGTAAAATAAAAATAAAATTTCATTAAGAGAAAAGAAAAAAGATGCATCATAAACAAGAATTTATCATTTTGATAGGTATTCAACACCACAAACAAATTAAAGTGATTATACTAAACAAGAAAAGAACAATCAAGAATTATCCATATTCATTGACATCAACAATTCTGAACACTAGACTAAAGCAATATCAATTCGATTGACCTTAATGATGGGAATTGGACAATAAAGCATCAGAGATTAATCATATTGATGTATTCTAACCATTTAGATGGAATAAAAATGAAAACAAAATAAACTGCACAATTGCTTACGCTTACATTTCACGAACCAAAATAAGTAATACTAATCATAAACAAAAGCGGATGGTAGTAAAAGAAGGAAGACCGATTGACTCTCGGGGGAAGAGTCATCTTCCCCGATTTTGCATTCAAGGTCAATCAGTCAGCTGGCAGATAGAATACGAATGGAGTGTTACAGCAGTCTGTTATGATGTTAATAGAAGGACCGAAGGAGCAGAAAGAGAGCGCTGGAGGCCGTGGTCAGAGGAAAGGATTGAGAGAGTATACGGGGTAAGTAAGAGAGGGGAAATAGGGAGGAGAATGTTCCGTGAGGGCAGTATTCTAAGATGTTGAAAACGGCATCAATGAAGGAAAAAACGAACCAAGATGGGTATCACACCTGTCCACCGGCGACAACAGAGCAAGTTAGGAACGATGGTGGTGATAAAAGGAGAGCGTCGTTCGAGCTGGGTAGCAGAACCAATGCTACTAATGGCTTTAGACGACCTGAGAACGAGCTGAATGTGCCCTTTCCTCATCCTTGAATGACCTGATTCAAAGTTTCGGTACCTAGCCAGACTTAGCGTTTGGTCAATTTGAAATAAAGAAGAAAAGGCAAAAAAACAGATAAGAAGAGACGGAAGGAAGGGCGAAGAAACGAAAAAAAATAAGACCAGGAGAAGGAAAACTGAAAGAAAGAACAAGAAGGGTAAGAAATGCAGACACCGGCGTCAACTGTCCAGTCGGCCGGTGGGGGAGAAAACAAAGTAAACCCTAGGGTGGGAAAGAAGAAGCAATAACAACAACAACAAAAGGAGAGAGAGAAAAAAAAAGTGGGAGACGCAGTTTTTTTTTAATAAAAAAAAGAGCGGCAGATTAATTGGTTCTTCGTTCTCAGGATAGAGAAGAAAGAGCATTATGGAGAAAGAAGAAAAACATGGAGAAGAAGAAGAAAACGAAAATAAATGCTTTGTCCCCCAACCTTCGATTGGATTAATGTGCGTTGGTTCCCTCGATCCCCGCTGGTTCTCAGATCACACCGATCAGACTTTTATCAACTCTCAAGCCCCCACATACCTTCTCGGCCTTTGGCAGTGACGCAGTGTATCAGTTCGACTATGATATGCAAAAGATATCTTTCCATAGATTTTCCCGTCTAAAACATTAAAATAAGATTGAAGATATTAATAAATTCTATAATATAATGAAGATATTAATAATTAATAAAATAATATTAAAAAGTAACATAACAAAAATTAAAAATTAATAAAGATACATATTTAATAATTAATACAAATTACAATAGTAAAAAATACAAAATAAATTATAAAAAATTAAAATAATATTGAAAATATTCGCTAATTCCATAAAGCAATGAAAAAATATTTAATAGTTAGTAAAATAATGATGAAATTTAATAATTAATAAAAATGAAATATTTAATAACTAATATAAATAAAATTTTAAAATAAATTCCACGGCACAATGAAACAAAATATTTAATAGTTATCAAAATAATTTCATAAAAAAATAAAATAATTAATAATTAATAAAGAATATAAAAGTTAACAATTAATATTAATAAAATATTTAATCATTAATAAAAACGAATTATAAAAAACTAAAATAATATTGAAATACTAATAAATTCCATCACACAATGAAAAAATATTTAAATAGCAGCGAATGTTCTAAAGAACGTAGCACTAGTTCTTCCTTAACCAAGTACTTGTCCATAAAAAATATGGAAGAGATAAACTTTAGCAATATAGAAAAATCCCTTCAAAATTAGACCATACCCAAGATAGTACTTTTGGAGATCTATAAAAAGAGAGTTTTCAGTCTATAAACAAACTTCAATATTATATAGACCGAAAAACAATAGAGACCTATAAGAGAAAAGCTAAATGCCATTTCATCCATTTTGGCCTAGTACAAGTAGCCATCAAACCTTTGACCCGATTAGGACTTCAAACAGCTACTTTGGCATGTCTAAGAGATTCTAGACATAATAAATTCAGCAATTCCTTAATAGGAGTAATTGAGGGTAACCTTAGTCAAGGACCCATATATTTCAATGCCTTCCCTGATTTCATAGTGTCTCTAACGGACCCAGGGATATAGGAAGCCTTAACCTTAAGGCTGCAAATCGAGGGTTTCGAAATGAAATCAAGATCAGAAAATGTGGCATTAGTTTATAAAATTTACTTTAAGATCATGAATACCATTTGTCCTAATACTAGGATAACAGGGACAAGAGGAATGACAACTTTGTTCCAAACAAATGCTAGAAATAACGTCACCATCCCTAGACAAATTATGTGGAAAGATGTAAAATTACGAGACAGGTGGCTAATAGCCAATGCCAAGCATTCCAAACCCGTTAAATCCATTGAATTAGCTTCAGTGTTCAATCAGCGAGATGGATATGTAGAGTTATGGTTTAGAAGAGCCTCAACTTCATCAAGACCTTCATATACAGAACCATTAGAAGTGATATATTCTTATTCTAGGAAGATTGGTAAATCTAATAGAATTACCTCACCCCCTCCAGGTATAATATATGCCACATATGAAACACCAATTTTTGATGCATCATCATCAGCTCATCACACAACCCATAATCAAGTCCCCTTTGAAGTTAATCTTTCAGAAGTCAAGGAAGAATTCCAAATAGGTAAAGACCTTATTAGGTTAGACTTTAATTCCAAACCAATAAGAAAGAAATGGTTCATTGAAAATTTCTCTAAATTAGAGAGATATCGTAGTAGAGAACTCTGGTACGAATATATGATAGAAGCTAAGGAAAATATTCCTTTTTGGAATTGGTTTATATAACGAAAACAATTTAAAAATATAAAACCCCTAGAAGAAGAACTAGAGTTATGTGTAACAAATAAACTTTCAAAAGCATAGAATTCTAGAATCAGTGCATCCTCCTTTAGAAGTAATAAAAATAGGGAAAGAAGAGCTAATAGATAGTCCAATAAAAAATTATTCTATAATAAAAGTTTAAGTAAGGTGTGGTTAGGATGTGTAGGGGTGGCCTCCTTGAAAGATAAAGGAAGACCAGAGGTAGGGAATCAACTAGGAGATTAGGGCAAAGGGGAGTGACGAGATGGTCGGGTAGGATCAGCAGAGAATTTAATGATTGAGTGAATCAATGATCGAATAAATAGTTTCATTATGAGGAGGATCCCGAGGTCCTGAAAGGAAGGAGCCAAAAGTGCTTGATTCCCATTAGGAAAGGGAATATTAGATTCAATGTCAGACATTAAGGAGCATTGCTAGGGTTTTGCCACATGTCTTATGAGATCTCTCAAGGACTGACTTTCCTTTCGTCCGAGGATTCTCATAATCCACGTGTTCTACTTCCTTTCGTGACCTACTTAACCGACGTAGCACTGGTGACGTCATTGTATAGTGGGCACATTCTATTACTATACCTACGCGGCGGCGCCTTATCACATGCATAACTTAAAGTTGCACGTGTAGCTGATATTTAACTTCAATTCACAGCGACCCGCATTTCTGTAATGGTTTTGGGTTCATAGCAAGATCACGCACCTCAGATGTTCATCGCAGAACTACGTGTATCCAAGGTTTATCACAAAACCATATGCGTATAAAATTCATCATAGACGTTCGATGAGTTATAAGCTCATTGTAGATAATCGATGAGTTATGGACTCATCGCAAGCGTCTATATGGTATCGATTTAGTACCTTCTGTATTTTGATGGACTGAGCGAGCACTATGTACCTACATTAGCCCCCGTGCTTATCGGTAAGTGGAATCTTATCAATAAGCATTTTGCCTTTAGATTTGCCCTGAGGACAAGATGAAATCGATGCAAGAAGAAGTTGGCGGTGTGTGTTGGTTTTTGTGCGTTGGGTCTGGAGATCGACCCTATTTTAATAATTCACTTAGATTCTTGTTAGCCCCTGCCTAATGACAAACTAGGAGTCAATCAATCAGGCAGTCATGTGTCTAGCCTGCTAATGGCCTTGGGCAAAAGATGGGTGTTTATTCTCGATTAGTTTTCATTGTGAGTTTCATCCCCCTACCCATTGGCAGGAAGGAAATTGTCAGAAGACAAATAGAGGTTTGTTGAAGTGTGGGCATTCAGCCCCTTGTGCGTGTCAAAGTAGTGTCTATTGTGGATACAATGTTGGTTGATAGTTGTAGACTGGGTGACCATTCACATTTGGTTATCATTGAGGGGTGGGGAAGATATTGGGTATCGATGATGTGGCAGTCATCATTAGCGATTTTCTTAAACGTCGTATCCTCTTAAATGCGATCCCGTTCGCACGTGTGGCCTGGACATGAAATGTGACTTTTTAAGATGGTGGTTGCTGATGTGGCGCTTCTTTTAAATTAATGTGTCGTTTTGTCCTGCTCTTTACAGGGTACATTTATAAATTTCTCTATCTTACTTTCTCATTAAGTGTCGGCTGAAGGACTGCAATCATGCCTATTCATCTTCCCCGACGTCGTTTGTCATTCCTAGGGGTGGCCATGAGTCGAGCTATTCACGAGCTGCTTGAGCTTGGCTTGGTTTCAACCAAGCTTCAAGCCGAGCGTGAGCCCAATTTATAGGATCGATTAATAAATGAGTCGAGCTCGAGCCTAATAGAGCTCGACTCGTGAGGCTCGCTAGCCGAGCTCGAATATATATATATATATTATAGAAAATAATATATATAATAAAAACATTATAATTCTTAATTTTTTAAATATCAAATAAAAATATTTTTTATATAATTTTTTATTTTTATAAAACATTTTTTTGAAATCGAGCTCGAGCTGAACCGAGCTCAAGCTTATGAGTTTTTGACTCGAGCTCGAGCTCGAGCTTGAGCCTTGTACAACATTGGCAAGCTGAGCTTGAACCTCGTACTATTCTGCTCGGCTTGGCTCGAATCCACCCCTAGTCATTCCTGACATGTAAGAGTGTTCTTTAAAAGGGCAGCACACCCATTCGACTCTCTACTTCATGTTCTTGTCATCTTCGGCTTATTTGCTTTCTGTGTCTTCTTTGCATATCATGCAATCCATTCTACACAACTTTTTCCTGTCTCTTAACTATGATTTTGTCTGTTGATCATTGCTCCTTTCTAGAAAAGTTTGAGTGCCCCTTTGTTGATTTTGTCAATAAAGTTGATACAACAAAGATGATGTCATAGTGGGAAGCGGCCATGGTGGTTGATGGAGGAAGGGGTTTTTGGCCTCCAATGCCGATGGCCAGGGGTGAAGGCGGTGTGTTCAATGCCGTTGATGGCTCCAAACTAATGTGTCTCTGTGTCCAACCAGATTTATCAATTTCATTCAAATGTCAGGAGCCTAGGACTGATAGCTCAAAGTCACCTAATAGCTATTCTGCTTGGGCAC